TACAGCACTGCGGTATATGTCAGAGCTATATAAATGTATAATAACAGTGTGACTGGCTCAGAGTGGCAGCCGTGCGGGGGCGGCGGTGCGGGGGGCCCGGCCTAAAGCCGTGTAAGAAGCCCCAAAATTTCGCCCTGACTGCACCACAGAATGTTGCTCACATTAGGGGATGTGTCCATGACAGCATGGGCTCACAGGAAGTTGGTTGAGTGACGCTGAAGTGGACGCTTCCCCAGAGTTCTTCTTTTATAGACCAAAGAGGAGCAAATAAAAAATGTTAGGGCTGCGACTACCTGTGTGTCCCTGTGAGTCATCTGATTAGCATGCATGTGGAACAGAGTAGTCGTTTTTGTACTTGGTTATTTCTTATAAACAGTGTGATTTGAGCTGTAATTTCCTATTAACAAACTTGCAAAGTTTCAGAGTTCTGCAAAGAGTCTATAGATATCGTGACAATGTCACATACTTCTTCCAGTAAATGCCAATAGATGAGCCATCCATTGCTCCAAGAGCTCATATACTTTCTCATTATACCATTACTGAGTGTATTAGACTTCCCACCTGACAAGTCACCGGCATGCCAGTCATTAAGGAGCTCTGTGCACAAGAGTCCTTAGCTACATGGCATTTAAAATTAGGTTCTATAGCATGTGGGTTCACAAAATAATTGGTTCCCATGGAAACCCACATTGCCAGCATGCAAAATATTATATGATATACATAACTTATTGATAACTTTGCTCAGCCCAATTTCACTTCAAAGAGGTAAAGCATAGGGCAAAATAGTAGAAACAGGACATCTATCCTAAACATCTCTTACTTACTGGCCATATTTCTACAGAGGTGGAATCCCAGAGGTTTCCTATGCCCAGACTCACTCTTATTGACTGCCTTGCACCCCTGTTATTGCTGGAATGCTTTCTGCACAAAGTGCAAATGACAGCATATGCATATGCACTTCAATATGCAGCAAATGTATGTGGTGACGAGAAATCAATCGTGTATCAGTGATAAAATAAATGGCTGAACATTTGAAAATTACAAATGTTTACAAGTGATCACGAATGCCCAATGTGCCACTGTCCATGATATAAACAATAATAATGTGACCATTAAAGAACTGTGATGTAATAACCAGGGCCAGATTTATTCTCTCTGCTGCCCCAATGCCAGGTCCTCAATGTACTCCCCTCTATGCAAGCTGCATACCAGTGATCTCGGCGACATCGCTGAGATCACTTGTACAAAGCAAATGGCGGCTTCCCCGCAGTACATTTAGTTCTGCTTGCCCAAAGCAGGGCTAAATGTAGAAAACAACAACCCCCCCAGCGCCCGGAACTGCATTTGCCGGGCGCCGGGAGATAGGAATTCCACACCGCTTCTGCACCTCTACTGCCTGCTGCCCCGAGGCCGGGCCTCGGTTGGCCTTGTGGGAAATCTGGCCCAGGTAATACCCCTAAAAGGAAGTGCTTACTTATTAGATGGTACCTTGCTAAAAAAAGATCTGTGCTCTAGAAGCTGTGCGAATAAAAGACAGGCTGAGGTCATATAGGCTCCCTGCAACTGATCTTTCCCCATTACTGACTGACCATGTCTAATTACACATTGTGTCTCTTTTTGGAAGCCACCATCTTGGTAAAGGTAGAGCTTTGTTCTTAACTTTCCCCTTGATGACTGGTGAAGGGATCTGATGACTGGTGAAGTAAGGTTGAAAAGGCAGCAAGAGAGGATCAGAAAGCACAGATCCACAGAATGCACAAAGCAAAGCAGGGAGATCCTTGCCCTGCAGGTCTTCAGGTACAACTTTCTCTCCAGTGAGGAGAACAGTGAGAAACAGAAGTGACATCACCAATTCTCATTCCAAATCTCTTGAGACTAGCAGTCAGAGGAAGTCAGTGCTTTTGATGATCTCACACTCAGATACACAGCTATGAGGGTCAAGTTCCAGGAGTGCCTAATAACAGGAAGTGCTATTTTTCATCAGGAGGTCAAAAAGGTGGATTTTCCAGGGTACTTATTGGACACAATTAACATTTCTATATGTTCCCTATAAGAGCGAATCCTCACTTTTGCAGTTCATGTAACACTAGTGATGAAGTGTCCCTAAAGAGCCCCATTGGATTCTAACTCCTGGATTTACATGATGACTTCAGCTTTTGTGCAAGGTGAGAGTAAGCCTTACCTGCTCTTTGCACTATCCCTGTCAATCAGCTATCAAATACCAAAGCTTCTATTTGCCCTTTACATTCTGGAATTTGACAACTGAACGATGAGACAGATGAGACTAGTCCTCAGGGGGGCTAGTTTTACTTTTACCTTTAGCAGAAGTTGAAGTTCCATATTCTGCCTGGAGATAGGAATTAGCAGGTTGTATAGAGGCACAGGGATCCAGTAAGTAGTTTTCAGGAGTCCCTCCAGCGCTGGTGCCGGTCTCTGATCCAGCACTGACTCCTATCTCTTCCTGTCCCACAGAGTCTGTGTGGGTGCACACTGTCTCCATTGACTTACCTTGTGTGAGTGGATAGATTCTCCCAGTGAAGAACTGATAATCAACTTGTGCTGACCATAGATTTACCAAATTCAATATCAGTCCCATCTGAGCAAACTGATCTGCTCATTGCTCCTCCCTGCCACACACTAAAGATAATAACACATTATAAGAATAGACTACGTCTCACAAGGGCTCATATGAGACAAGAGATCTATTGTCATGAAGAATGAAAGAGAAATGAGTTTGAGAAAGTAGAAAAGGGACAGAGTGAGGGAAAGAAAATGAGAGTGGGGGGGCTAGACATGAGACACAAAGATGACGAGAGGGTAGTGGGAGAAAGAAAATAGAGGAGCGGGTTACTCAGGGTGCCCATAGCCATTTTAGGACTCTGAAAACACCCATGCTACAGCCTCATGCCAACGTGTGGAGTGTTATCCCGAAGAGACTTTGTTCTGTCTTTGTTCCAGATATTTTTTTCATTTTCGCACTGCAGAATAAAGTAATTTTTTGGCTGAATAACAGAAAACTGTTGCATGCTTCCCATGAAAACAGAGCTAATTGCTTGTTCAAAATCCAGGTCATTCTACATGTGAGTCATCTTTATTGAGTCATGACTCTGGCAGAGGATAATTGTATAGCAAAGAGACTGTACATGACATGTCGGGATGCATTATTTTCAGGTTATTGATATTTTAAGGATAAACAAGTAATGTAATTACAAACACAGCACCATTTCAGAATTAAAAATAAGATTACTTTAATTAATGTGTCAGTCCACGCAGAACGGATATTTTAGCTTTTAGCAGATGATGAAGAGTTAAACCACCTGATAGTGTCTTCTATCTTTTGGGGACTCTATTGGTGAGATGTCTGCACATCTGAGGAGGTCTCACCTGGGCTGTACACATGATGTGGCCATTATAAGGAGTTCACACCAACCTTGTTGAATTTTTCTTTATTTTATATTATCAGGAATGTAACCGGAGGAGCTGAATACATAAAGGAAGAGAGGAACACCTAAATCTCCCGACTAAGAGACCTTGTCATCAGTTTAAAAAGTGCAGGTAAGGCACTTAGGTATTTAAAATGCTTGCTTGCAGTGCTCCTTTCCAGAATATGACTCTGAACTTGATAGAAAATTTGACTACTCTTGTAAAAGTCAAATGTTTAGCACTGCCCCCTCCCTCCTTGTATGTCAAAGTTCTGTACTCTCCTAAATGTGTCTAATTATTGCTTGTGCTGACCCAGCTCCTCCACCCCTCCTTTTACCTCTCTACATACCTTACATAAGCAAGGAAGGTGAATTCTATACAGCAGTGGTTGCCAACCTGGGGTACTTGTACCTCCAGGGGAAAGTGCCAGGATGTTAAGGAGTAGGTGAAAAGAATGTCATGGTTGTGTAGACAGATGACACTTGGCATAGCTGGGAACTTACCGGAAATCACCCTGAAATACCGGCTTTGGTTACTCGCTTCCATTTTTTAAATAGCAAAATCTCTGACTAAATGTTTGTAATTAGTAATAGTAACTAATACTAAAGTGACATTAGTGTATCTACTTGCAGCCTATCTGTCACTGTCTACCGCCTGGGAGGGAAGCGGTGAAAGCTGAGGTGCGGGAAGCAGGTAGCCGAGACTTAAGCCTGTGGGCATGTGCATGCCTATTTGTTGAAATAGAATCTGGGTAGGAGATCACCATAAAGCTACAAGTTGCCTTCCTGTGTCTGGCTTCAAAGAGATCATCTCCCCCTCGATAGTACAGCAAGGAGCCCAAAGCATTACACTCACAAAGGCATGATCACTGTGTAGAAAGTAGGGATGCACCGATACCGATACTAGTATCGGTATTTGGTGCCGATACCAAGTATGTGGGCGGGTACTTGTAATTGCCAAAATGCTCCCAATGCTATCCCGATACAGGAACTTCCTGTATGAGGAGGCTGGTTCCATGCCCCCTCGTCACCATGGAGCATGGAGCTGGCTTCCTGGCCAATCAGGAAGTCGGGGGCGGGTAATGACTCGCAGCCCTGTTTCGGATTGGTTGGGAAGCTGGCCGAGTACCAAAAAAAAAATATCGGTACTCATACTCGATACAGAAAAAAAGGTTATCGGTACATCCCTAGTAGAAAGCAAGTCATTTTATTGAATTTTCTGGCACAGTCTGTTTGCGTGTCACTGATGAGCGAGGATTTCACAGGTTAATACAATGCAAAAAATATGTAAAATACACATATAATCTTTTGGGAAGACTGTTGTTGAAACAAATGACCTGGCAACAGGGTCTCATCAACTATCCAAGATACATGCTGGTCTAGGGGTACAAGAATAGGTTCGCACAGAGGCCCCAGTGAGATTTGAACTTGTGACCCCTGGTTTCTAAAGACCTGTGCTCTAACCCCTGAGATATGGAGCCTGACATGGTGGCTGGGAAAAGGTTCTTTTTTTCACAAGGCGTAAAGACATAAGCAAGCAGAGGGAGCTCAAGTGCGAGCAAAAGGTGCCAATAAGGATGTCAGAAGTGGGATTTGAACCCACACCTCCAGGAGAGGCTACAACCTGAATGCAGCGCCTTGGACCACTCAGCCATCCTGACCAATGGAGAGTTTGCCCTTACTATGACTGATGATGCTCATAGCTTGAGTCGCTGTGCCGGTAACTCAGCTGAGATCTACATGTCAACATCTTGGTGTACGTCGCTATTCTGCCAGGAGCTCAATGGGAAAAAAATCCTCTGAATGTTACATGAAAGAGAAACTGTAGGTGAAGCGGCCTTAGCCTTTCCACCAGGGGCGTGCCGAGGCTGGGTGACACCCGGAGCGGTAACTGAGTGTCACCCCGCCGAGACGTCACTGCGCATGCGCGTGATGTCACCACACGCGTGCGCGATGACGTAATCGCGCACGTACGGCAGTATTCTGATACCTGCCGGTGGCCATCTTGGTGATGGACGCCGGCAGAGAGAGGAGGGGACAGTCACCTGGCGGGGTAAGGTATGCCGCCGGGTCCCCTCCTCTCTCCTGATACTGTCGGGCGTTCGGTCCATGACCGAGCGCCCGACTTTTCAGAGGGGGGTGACACCAAAATGACTGTGAGTCATTTTGGTGTCACCCCTCCAATGGTGACACCCGGGTGCGGGCCGCACCCCCCGCACCCCTCTTGTGACGCCACTGCTTTCCACCATTGGTCTTCATCACTTAAAATGCTTTGGAAGAAGAAAGATGGGTGTTAGAAGGGAGTTCCAACACATGTATATGATCATATGATTTTATAGATTTTAATTATGTCTCAATAAAAATGTATTTTATAGACTTTTGTGTATAACACATTGCGGTTAATGAGATCAGGTAAAACTCCATTTGCAGATTGGCTAAACCTTGGTAATGTAGGGGTGTAATGTCATAAGTTTTTGGAAATCCTACCTAAACTTATACGTCTACATCATTAAGTACATTTCAGGACCAGCAGTCCTGCACTGTACATGAGAACAACGAGGGCCCACCCACATCTCCAGAGCGTCAGAGGGCAGAGAAGAGCACTGGCTGCTATCGGTTTGAGGAATAAGGTAAGTATTTGTGCTCCTTTCATTCCCCCTAGACCAAACAAGCATTTAACCTTTGCAATGTGGAGCAGAGGGCCCTCTTCATGGTTCATTTTTAAAGATGACCGAAGTTCAGGTTTAAGCATTACCAGAATAAGACTGTATGCTATACTTTAACATATCTAGAAAATCAGCCTCAAAGTTTGTGAAAGTAAGCACCGAAAATGAGGCGTGTGAAGTCCAGAATACATTTTTTCAGAGGCGTATACTGTAAAACAGCCAACACTTTTTGGGGGTTCAAAAGAGCTCCCTTCGTCAGGTCTAAAAGACAATAAGATTTAAAGATACCGTGTTAGTAATACTTTTTTTTTGTCAAAGTTGGAGTTATGCTTTCAAAGTTACTCTTTAACAGACCTGGCAAAAAAAGAGCCATCTTAAAGGAGAACTATGGGGTAAGTGTTTTTCCCCATAGTTCTCCTAAGGGTCACGGGAGGACACATACTAGCGTCCTCCCGTGACCCACAGCTCAGTATATCGCGAGCTGCAGCTCGCAGTATACTGAGACCGCCGCAGCCGGGACGGATCCTGATATTACTGTCAAGATCCACCCAGCTGCGTGATTGACTGCTGGCTCTGCCTATCTAGAGGCAGAGCCAGCTGTACACGCCCCCTCCCCGTCCGTTCCGCCAATCAGCGCTGGAGGATCGGAGCGGGGAGGGGGGGAATCTCTGCAGGGAGTCTGCAGGGACATGAGCGAGAAGTGAGCAAGCAATCCCAGATAGCAAGCAATTGTGCTGCAAGTTTGAAAATGACTTGCTAAACTCTTGCAGACTTGCCAAGCTTTACAATTTTGTTGCACGATTACAGTAAGTCTGCATTGCAAGTCTTCAGACCAGCGAGCTTGCAGAGCTCTTGCTAAGACCTGCAGGACCCTTGCTGTAGACTTGCCAAGCAAATTTGCTACAACTTCAAAAAGTGTCAACTAGAACTTGTGCTGCAAGTGTTCTGCAAGTCTATAACTTGCCAGGAACGTGTGCAGCAAGTTAACAAAATTAAAATTTCACCCTGACACAAGTTTGTGGCAAGTTATCCTTGCTATCTGGGAATGGTATATGTTCTCTCACTTCCCGATCTATTGAACCGATGTGGGACAGTTTCATTGTCACACCTCGGCTCGAACTATGAGGAGGAGGGAAAATCACTCACCTCATAGTTCTCCTTTAATGTAGAACTGAAGCCAACATTTTTTTTCTAGTTTAGGATAGGGAAGGTATAACATATGTCAGCTTTCTTGACATCTATGTCCCATTGGGGAGATTTCTCTTCACTTCCTGTCCAATAGCCACAACAGGAAGTGGGAGAAAATCCTTCCAAAGAGAGAGAAATCCCTAGTGGCCAGCAGGGTCACAAGAACTAGTGTCCCCATTGGAGGATTTCCCATGTTTCCCATGCTCTGGTGACCACCCAAAATTTGGGATTGTCTTTCACTTTCAGTGATAACGGTCACCAGGACAAATGGAGGGGCTGACTCTACCTAATGAGGTCACAGCAATATAAACCTGACAGGTGTTCTAATCCCTCCCCAATCTATGCAAAATGAAAAAAAAAAGTGTTGGGTTTTGTGACGGACTGAACCGTCACTGGGGCTGCTGGAGGAGCCTGAGGGCTAGCCTCCTTCCTAGAGACTATGGACCTAGGACTATAGAGACCCCCCCCAGGGGGCCCATGGATGGCTGTTGCGGGGAGCCTGGCCCTACAGCCGTCCAATTTCACAATTCAATACCGGCTCTGGAAACCCAATGTTAATGACAATGGTACACATATCAGCCCTCCCATTCAAGCTATCGGACCAATCCCTGCTGACCCTGTTTCATGTCCTCATTTGCATGGCCAAGAGGACCTAAGTGAGGACTAGAGGGGACTTTACAATTGACCAATAGGAAGGTGGTCGGTTGGGCGGGGCGTTCAAATTGTTGTTTATAAAAGTGTGTGTGTGCATCCAATAAAGGAGATTACTGTTTGAATTTACATACAGCCTGCCTGGTGTTTGTTCTGAGCTATCACCACTGGATACGAACGGCACATAGCTGTAGTTCGAATCACGAATTATCGGACGACCGAAATATCAGACGCTGCGGTCTGAAATCTAAGGAGTGCCGGGAGAGTGGAACCGAGCGAGCAGGGGCTCGTTGCAGGTTCGGATGCATTTTAAGCATCAGCAGAATAAGGCAATGCACTTCCTGTGACATATCTAGAAAATAACCTTCAGAGTACAGCTGTATTTTCCATACAGGTCTGTGTAGTTTCGGAAGCTGTTAGCAATGGTTTGGGCCATTTCTTGTGCAGTCATTTTTCAAATAATAACATGGACTATTAGCTCCATATTCTAGAAATGAGTTGAAATCCTGAACAGATCGCTAATTTCTGCCAGCTCAGCACTTATTCTGCAAAATTGTGGATGTTTTACTCAGCAGAAAATAAAGTTCACTCCCCATTTGTCATACATTCCGCAGAGTACAGTACATTTAGGGCAATGGGTTCGGGCGGATTTATGAGCAAGCATTTTATTTCATATTATTCATTCATAACATTTTCTGCAAGCATTCTGTACAATGAAAGGATTGTAATTCCGTTATCCGCACAAAAAGAAAAAAGGTTGAAGGATCTGTCTGGTGGGAGGAATTCATGCTGAGCTTCTAGCGTGTAGCAGACAATTGGCACAGTTCTCCAAAGCAGAGGTTCTTAAACTTTTAAATCCGAGAGCCCAAATAAGAATATTGTTTCCATATTGGGACCTAAGAATACAATTACTATTACTACCCAAATGTCAGCAAAGCCAAACAACAATGGCCATATACCACATTGCCCATCACATTTTCTGTAATTTTTAGTAAAGCAGAGAGAAATAAATGTTTTCTTATATTTTATTTTCAATATTTTAACTAGCCCCTGGGAAAAATATAGGGTGACAACACTGTGTCCCTGTCTCCCATTTGTGTTCCTGCATTGTCATCTGGGCTTCCAATGGACACAACATGTGGCCATTTCAACGTTGACAGGTCATGTGACCAGGCTTTTTGTTCTTTTTTTAGAGTTACATCATGCTAGGCCTTCTAATCAATATGACCGATGATGCCTAACCCAGAAGAAAGATGGGAAGGCTTGCAAATGTGACATCACTGCAGGAGAGGGAAATATTGAAGACTTTAGTTGTCCTTTAAAGCAATGTTATGCAGGGCCGGATTTACTCTCTCTGCTGCCCCAAGGCCAGGTTCCTCAATGCACACCCCTCTAATGCAGAATGGCAGACCTGCAGGCTGCATAAAAGTGATCTCGGCAAATCGCCAAGATAACTTGTACAAAACAAGCGGCAGCTTCCCCGCTGTACATTTAGCTCTGCTTGCCCAAAGCAGGGCTAAATGTATAAAAAATCTACCCGCCCGGCGCCCGAAACACACCCCTGCTGCCCTGAGGCTGAGCCTAGGTTGGCATTGTGGGAAATCTGGCCCTGATGGCATGGCTATACCTTATTTTATATACAGTATATATAACCCTGAATGTCATTTAGTTTGGATTTGGATACTTTAACGATCAAATTGAGCAAAAATGCTTATGCCAATGGAGGGGGAAGGTGGCTATCCAAATTGCATTCCGTTCAACTGACTATTTTGCTTGACCAGGCTTTGGCAACCATATATTAAAAAAAGTGATCATCCCGACACAGATTTGTTATAACTAAGGCACACTGAAATGGCTGAAATGCGTCAACGATCTTTTGTATGCTGTTTTTACACAATGTGGAAATAAAGTTTGCGTCGGGATGATCATTTCCATGTGTCGTTTTTTAAATATATGAAGTTGATTGGGTCCGCAAGAGACCTTTTCCAGGGCACCATAGTTCCTAACAGTGCATTTGGGTCTGAGGAGGTAGAGCAGCTTTCTTTTTTTTTCTGTTTTCCAGGGAGCATTGAGGAGGGCGGGAGGCCCTATAGACCCTAACCCTATGGACCATAGTTTTCATAAATAACTAGACTGGGAAAACATCCTCTTTTGTC